CCTGGAGTCAGTTCTGACTCATAGCGACCCTGTACAGGGTTTCCAAGGCTGTAAATCTTTACAGGAGCAGAAAGCCTCATCTTTCTCCCGTGGAACGGCTGGTAGTTTCGAACTGCTGACCTTGAGATTAGCAGCCCGATTCATAACCACTACACTATCAGAGCTCCATACATATATACTTATTTAAGTAAATGGTTTTGCCTTATAAGTAACAATGGAAATATAAAAATTATAACCTTGAAAGCAAAATGTGAATTTCCCTAATAAGGGACTCTGCTTGTGTTGGAGACAGTCTCCAGGCTCGATCTAAATAATTACAGAGGAATTACAGGGTTGGAAGGTAGAATGGGAGTAAATAAAATTTGGATCAGAGACCATCTGACTTATAAGAATATAAGAAGGAACAAGAAAAAAAGATGAATGGTTAGTAAATAGGAAGAAAGGTGAATAAATACCATTTAATAAGGAATATGAATAAGTCCACATATTCCTTCCTTCTCTTTGGGCTGGAAACCTCTTATTTTCCATTTGGAACCACTGTGGGGGTTTTAGGAAGATTCAATTAAATAAGCCCCACTGTGGTGCCACAAAATAAAATGTCTACCATGTCCTCAGCCTTCTGAATACCTGCTTCCTTCACCCTACAAAGATACTTTTATGTTTATGTGAGGAAGCTCTTGGCTGTTTCCATTATTTTTTCAGTGTTTTCTGGTTTTAAGCTGTACAGTTCATGCTTAATTCATTTTTCTGCACATGCAATTTACTGAATTTATTTAAATGAATTTGTTTTTGTTGGATGGGCTGTTTGCCTCCTGCAACTTGGCATAGCTTTGGTGTCCCAAACAAGGAAATGCCACCAATTACTCCCTCAAATTCTCATAGTCAAGGTATTTATGCAGTTCTCAACTTCTGTGATTGATTTTGTAAGATCTCGTTTTGGAAAACTGAGTACATTTCAATCTTGTATTATGTGTCTTTTGCATGTCTTTAAACCCAAAGTATCTAATCATTTAGACTCTGTATATCACACATTCTGAAAATTACAACAGTCACCTATAATTGTTGTGGCTGTAGGCTGTTGAATCAATTCCAATTCATTATGATTCTACAGAACAGGAGAGAGAACTACCTCTCAGGGTTTGCTAGGCTGTAATCAGATTGCCACTCCCCTGCAAGAGGCTTCTGGTAGGACTGAACCACCAATCTTTTGGTTGGCAGCCAATGCCTAACCACTGTACCAGCAAGGTTCCTTTTACAAATAATGAATGTCCTCTAAACCCGTGGTTCTCAACCAATTTGGCAATATCTGGGAACTTTTTTGGTAGACCTAACTGAGGAATGGGTGTTGTTGGCATTGAGTGGTAGAGACCACTCTACCAAGCACAGGACAGCTGTCCCCAACTAAGAAGTCTCCAGACCATCTTCCATTAGTTCTTAGGTTAAGAAACTCTGCTCTAACAGAATAATCATTGTTTGTACTATTTACTATTTACTCCAGAAAACTAGCAGAATTTTCTTAAGTTTGCCATCTTGCAAAGATGGGTATAGACTATATTTGGGCTTTGTGAATGTGGTAGAAAAAATGTGGGTTGTAGCTTCAAAAGATTCAGGGCCAACCTATGCTGTTCAGAATGCAAAGGAGAAAAAGGACTTTGTTTATAGACAAGTACTTACCTGGGTTTGACAATCTGTTGTGTCTATGATGAAGAATAAGCTCACTGAAAAGACATCACTACCTTCTTATCCTCCCAGACACTCAACTCCCAAGCCCAAAGAAGAACTAGCTTCATTTTTAATAATAAAATGCATTTCCCCTAACCATTCTCATTTTTTACATAATTAATTAGAACTGTTCATTGTTAGCACTCTGGAGCCTCATTAATATCAGCATAATTACTCTCTTGGTATCAATGAACATTTCTGATGTTTGTCAAAGAGCACTCTGTGCAGTTTGAAGCTGCTCAGGCTCAAGTGAAGCATACAGGTATCTATCTATCAGCTATAAACAGTGCAACTCAGAGCATGCTCCTTTAAAAAAGAGCAATCCATCATGCATCTCATTAGAGAGCAATTTGCTGCATTTGAGATTTGTCACTAAATTGCCCTGGAGTGGCAAAGTATTCTTCTGAGAAATGTCCCATTGGCAGCCATCCAGCTGCACGGTACATACCTAGCAGGTTCCATTACTGTTGCAATTTGCTATCCTGTAATGTCATCAAGACAAAAGTGTTCCCCTAATCTTTCCCTTTGGACAATCCTAATTAACTTTGCCACAGGTTGAAGGCAGATACGTACCAGCCTGTGCCACTCCGAATCCAGGGGGACAACTCCTGTGCTTCAAGCAGAACTCGACCTCGAGGTAGCGCCCTTCCTGGCACGCACACACGCGGTTATGGGTGCGACTGCACTCTTGCTGGACGTGCTGCAGCTCCTTGCACACTGGGGTGCAGTATAGACACTCCTCACTGGTGTGCCAGCTGTCTGTGTAGTACTGGTCAGGGCAGGGGGCACACACGGTCTTCCGCCTTGTTGTACAGTGCTGTTTTAGGTAGGTGCCAGGAGGACATTTGTCACACATCAGTTGACGAGACGTTTCGGGGTCATAATGAAGGTATTTTGGAAGAAATGGTTCCTGAGTGGTCCATTTCATGGAGATATCTAGGAACTACAAGGAGACAGGCAGGAGTAGTAACTTAGCATGGGAACAGGGCGTCCGTAACAACCCTAAGATACATCACAGAAGAGGTTAAAAACCATAGTCCTTGCTCTAGTAGCTTAATGGTGTGGTGCTATGGGATAAACACTGAACTGCTAATCACAAGGTTGACAGTTCAGATCCATTAGCCACTCCTTACAAACACTATACAGTTGGAACTGACTCAACAGCACTAACTAAACAGAAGCAATGGTTTAAAATCACAGATGAAGAATGTGGTAACCCCAAAGACATCACATAAAACCAGGCTTCTAGATGACTGGCGTGGAAGCCTCATCAGAACAGGAGTCTCTACATTAAGACTCACTATAAATTAGCCATGGGACCCAAATGACACTTCTCTCTTCAGGCTCTAGGATTGCTGTTGTTGTTGCTAAGTGCCATTGAGTCAGTTCCAACCCATAGCAACCCTGTATAGTGTTTCCAAGGAGCAGCTGGTGAGCTTGAACCACCGACCTTGCAGTCTGACACATTAGCCCACAGCGCCACACCAGGACTCCCAGGCTCCAGGATTATCTCTAAATTAATGAGTTGTACAAACTGGTGGTTCTCAGAACAGCTACACCACAATGTCTGGAGATTCTGTGTTAAAATAGGGATTCTGAGGATTCACATTCTTCGTCATTCTGAATCCATGAGTCAGGAGTTGGGCTTTGGAATGTCATCAGCTTCTGCGGTGGTTTGAATGTGGAGGACATACTCCACTATTCTTTCATTCATTCGCTTAGCAAACAGTTATTGAGCCCTTCATGGATACCAGACTCTGTTCTAGATACTTGGGTACAGCAGTGAATAAAATAGACAAAAATAACAACAACAAAATACCTAACCTTTGTGATGTTTACAATTTACTTAGGGGGATAATAAATAAGATAGTAAATTACACATTAAAGGTGATGTGTTGCTAAAAAAGAACAGATAAAAGAAATGGGAAACATGGAGCGGAGGTGGGACGGATTCCAGTTTAAAGGGGTTTTTACAGGAGTCATGCTTAGGACTGGATGGTACCTCTTGATTCTTACATTCTAAGACTTAGTGATTCCAACTAAACAGTGAAATGCAGAGTTAGTGACATCTGAAGGTTACAAGGTTGACTTAACAGCTGCTCTGACCATTCATGCAACAGCTATGCCTTGTGATGCCGACTATATACATGTCCAGCACCAGGAAGATACTGGTGAATAAAACGTGACCTCTGTTCTCATGAAGCTTGTAATCTAATGAAAAGATTCTAGAACTTTATGACTGCTGTGCCCTCCAGAATAACATCTGGGGCAGTCTTGACACACACAGGCAGGCGAATTCAAGAAAATTAAATGACCACCTATCTTCAGGATAATTAGGAAAAATTCAAGGAGGAGGCAAGGTTTCAAAAATTTCCTTTAAGAATGGCAGGAAAAGGTTTGTGTAGAAGAAGAAAGGATTTCATGGGCAAGAGGGCTGCTTGGGAGGCCAGCTTCAACTGGGCATCTTCCTTGTATTCTAGATCTCAAAAGGTCTGCAATGGAGCAGCAAAGTAGTTTTGCTTTTTTTTTAAACCTAAATTACAGAAAACACACACTCACAGACACACAGGAGTGTTGGTTGTGAGTAGGGGTGTTATTTTGGCATTTGTTATTTGTGTTTGGTAGAGGGTTCAACACACACAGGCTTTGGGGAGGTATCAGTCCAAATACAATCACTATTTTATCCAAATTCTTCTTTGTAAAACTCAGTAAATCTCACAGAAACTCCCTGACCTAGCAAAATCATACCAAGCTAGAGAAACAGCACTCCCTTTGAATTTGGGGTGGCAAAGGCAAAGAATGGTCATTTCATAAGCATTTGGGCATTTGAAGCTTAAGTCCTTTCATTCACTTCTTACGGAAACACGGTAAGCTTCAGGTCTGATGGAACGTAATATGACCTGCTAAACCAGAAGATTAAAGAAAAGACTTCTCACCCAGTTCCATGGCTCTTTTAATCAAGGACATTTGTCAAAAAGAAACATTGCTTTCATGTGTAGGACTCCCAACCAACACACAGAATAAAGTGCAAAAAGGGGGCTGGTTCAGTTATCTTCTCAGAAAATGCTCGTGAGCTGGAGGTGTCTGGAGAAAGCATGCTCTTGAGTTTCATGGGACTTTTTTTGTTGGCTTAGATGGAGCGGATCAAAATTAGGAGAAAGGAATGGACCAGCCCCACTTAAACCCACCCACTGCCATCAAGTGTAACTGCATCTTATACCGACCCTATAGGAGAGAGTGGAGTCCTGGTGTGGCGCTGTGCATTAGTGCACTGGACTGTAAGGTCAGTTTGAACCTCAAAGTCAGCGGTTCAAGTTCACCAACCACTTCTTGGAAATCCTATGCAGGACTGCTGTGTCGGAACCGACTTGAAGGCACTCAACAACAACAACAACAACAACAATGGGCAGAGAAGGAGCTCTGGTAGTGCAGTGGTTACAAGTCTAGCGGCTAACCTCAAGGTCAGCAGCTCGAAACTACCAGTCATTCCGAGGGAAAAAGATGAGGCTTTCTGCATCTGTAAAGGTTTACAGCCTTAGAAACCCTATGCAGGGTTGCTGTGAGTCAGAACCGACTCATGGCACACACACACACACACAGACAGACACACACACACACACCACAGGGACAGAGGACCTCTGCTCCATAGGAAATAAGCAAGGTGACAAGACTAACTGTGTTGCTATTTGGTCATTATTTCATGGAAAAGCTTTTAAGTCTCCTTGTGTGGACTTGGCGCATGTCTTTCTAAAATGCTCTGTGCAAAGGAATGAGGATTTCCCAATGCAATTTGCATGGCCAAACAATGAGGAAATATGTCTTTTTTTTCTTTCCTGTTGTTGGCTTCTGATTTCCTGGAGAGCCACTTTTGAGGGTTTTGTTTGTTTTCAAGAGGCCTGGCTCAGCGATCCAGGGAGACCTTTGTCTTCAGTCCACTGTTGAGTAAGCCATATCCTGGTAATGCTGGAAGTCTTGAGATTAACCTCAGCCCCGTCTTTTCCATTTCCCATTTCAACATGGATTCTTCACTTGCTCATCAGTGCTGGCTCTATCACCCCAGGAAAGTTCTAAGGATGTATAAAGAAATCAAATAAACTGGATTTGTGTGGCTCCTAGGGGAGTTGGATTAATACAGGATAGGATCAAGAATGCTGATAATACTTGTATATTTCTAGGTAATCAGATATGGCATTGTTGGTTTCCTGCAGCAATGTTTTGGAAATGTTTGCTATTTGTTCAAAAGACAGGAAAGTTGAGGTAAAAGCAGTCCACAAGAGAAAAAAGTGAATAAGGTTGATTTAAGGGTTAGAGAGCAATCATATTAATGAAGGTAATTAACATAGCTGTTTTTTAAAATCAGAGTTTTGAAGAACCATAGACTTACTTTCACCAGGTTCAATTGGGTCTCTGTGTTTTATTTGAAAATTTCCACTTTGGTTAAAAAGACAGAACTGTGTGTGGCCAAAATTGAATGTTCAGGTCTCCGTCTCTGGTTAGCCCCAATTCCCACACTGAATTTCTGGTGAATGAAGCCAGTTACTAAACAGAGAATGGGCATGATTAATAGAGCTAGCTCATCATTCAGTCCTCTCTCTTTCTTCTGAACTTTCTAAAAAACAGCTAAAAAAAAGAGGATGCCTTCTGACAGACCATTTGACTATTCAATGCATCTCCATTCTCTTATGATAATACATAAAGTCTAATTAGAATATAAGAGGAATTTCTGGATACAATAGAGTCTTCAAGTAACCATGAATTAAGACCCCCCAAAGCTAAAATACCTGGATAGGTGTGGCTGCAGAAGCAGAAAGTGCTTGGTTTCGAAGAGGCTGCGCTCTGTTTGTGCTGCATATGCTTGACTTATGAAGAAAGAGTACATGGAATTTTCTTTACAATTTTTTTTTTTCTTTTGTGTCCTCTCCCATGCCATGACTATCCATCCAGTCTTTGGTGTAGAACATTTGTGCTTTAAGGAAACCCAAACTTTCTGCATTCGAATGCTTCCCGCTAGCCTGGGGACTCTCCTAGACATCTCCATGCCTCTTTCCTTGAAATCAAAGTGAAGGGTCCATCTCTAATCATTTTGACCCTCTCATTGTTTTCCATTTGTAATACTGGGCACTGTTAAAGACTTTTCCATTTCAAACCCAGCTAAAAGCGTTATTCTGATGTTCTCTTCCTCATTTATCAAAAATTACAAGATGATGGTATTGGCAGTAGGTGAAAAGGATGGATGAATTGGATTAGTTGTCCTCTATAACCCTGTGGGTTAATGCACTGGACTATGAGGTTAGTTTTAACAGTGGGTTCAAGCTCACCAGCCCACTCCTTGGAAATTCTATACAGGTTTACTATGGGTCGGAACTGACTCGACGGCTCTTAACAACAACAACAAAGCCCTTTCTAGTTCTAACATTGTAATATTCTGTGTTTGGACTAGATCCAGTTGTTGGTTAATTAGCTGCTTAGAACCAGCTGTCATGCTCTAACCCCAACCTACTTCTTGTTCCATCCGGTTTTCCTTGTAAAATCCTTTATACAGCAGAACATGCACAATCAATACCCATGTAGGTGGCTTTGCAGATTCCTCATGTCTTCCGTTCCCTCAGTAAATCAACTGATGACTTAGCATCCAGAACTCTCAACTCCATCGTTTCTCTAACATCCCATCTCACTGTCCTTCCCGTGGAGTTGTACATGTATGTTTAACAAAAGTCAGTTTTATGTTTGTTGTTAAATCTCCTTAAGTTAGTTGTACTTGTCATTACAATTAGGTAATTCAATTAAATATTATGTAAATCAGAAAGCACGGTTATAAAAATTGTTTGTATTTTTGTAAGACTATTAGAATTATTATCTGTTTTTAGAGGACAAGTAGATTGAATGCTCTAGGGTAATTTAATAAAGATGAGTGACAAAGAAAAATATGACTATAGAAACTGGAGTAGGTTAAGACAGTTGTTTTAAAAAACTGGAGAAAAATCTAGACGGGTTTAGAAGAGATATGCAGTTAGTTTGCATCATAAGTGTCATTAAGTTCTAAAAGTGAAATGGATGGATGCTACATTACAGACCTGGGTTTTGCAAGAGGATTCAAAATACAAGTAAATCGAAGCTCATCTAAATGTTTCAAGTGGAAATAAAACATTTGAGAGCAATGTGAATTATTTTTATGATTAAACGAATTCTCTTGATTATTTGATTAATCATTTAATTCTTGGTTCCAAATACATATAATTTTTTGAATGGGATGTCCCCATATTTAGAAAGTAGAATATGTGCATATACAAGGAGCTCTGGTAGCATAGTGGTTATGAATTGGGCTGTGAACCTTGAGGTCAACAGTTTGAAACTACCAGCTGTTCAGCGGAGAAAGATGAGGCTTTCTGCTCCCATAAAGATTTACAGCCTCAGAAACCCCATACAGGGTCGCTATGAGTTGGAACTGACTCCACAGCACATAACCACCACCATGTACATATATATACGAAGATGGAATGCTGCTCTTCCTAGCCCACTCGAATACTTATGCATTAAACTCTACTCTGTGCCAGGAAGTGATTTAATAAATGACAATATATTGGTTAGTGCCTACTTTAGGCTGCTTTAGCATTAGTTTCTTTAAGCCTCAACTAGCTACAAAAATGAATCTTGGAAAGGACCATTAACTTGTCCCAAGCCACAGAATGAATGGAGGCAGAAGACAAACTCCGAGCATGTGCTATATATACTGTTTTCTGTTTGAAGCCTTTACTGTTACCAACTGCTTTCACTTATGCTGTAGCTCCCATGCACAGTTCAAGAGCAATTATTACAAACCCTACAGTGCTTATTTTACACTGTGACTCAACAGCATAATGGTAGGTGATCAACCAAAACCTTCTCCAAACCCAGATGGACAGATACTGACTTTCTTTCTTGGTGCTAAACTAACTCTTGTCCAAAGCAACCAAGAAGGAAATTTCTCAGATAATGTGTGATGTGGCTAGGGCACTGTACTCGTATCTGTGTCTTCCTAAAGAATAAAAGAACACACTTCCTCTAGCAAGCTTCTGGTACATTACGCAAGGCAGCCAGCGCCATTCTACAGAGCATGCTCTCCCTGTATGAAGAAGCATGAGTGACCCAGTGGGTTTCCATTTATGGAAAATTCATTAAAAGGAACCCACGCAAAGCCTAAAATAAATACTTGGTTTGGGAGTTCCTTTTGTGATCTCTCGTCATAATCTTTGCCGCAGAGAACTATTTGAGGACTCTCCAGAGTTAGCTAAACTTTCTGGTCAGTTTTGAAACTGTGCCATTTTACAGTTTGCTTTAGCCAAGAAAGGAAATGTCCAGAACATAAATTATGGCAAGTTTCCTAAAAATCTCTTGTAGTATGAACTATGATGAAGTTTATTTTTTAAAAAAAGTTTTCCTATGAGAGTAAGTTTGTTTGGTTTTTTATGTCATGTAATGTACTTTTTTCTCTTTTATGTTAAATAATTCATTTATCTATTCACACAAACATTTACTGAAACCATTTCTAATTTC